CACCCCTTATTTTATTTTTTAAGATTTACTGATTTATTTTAGAGGGTGCACAAGTGGGAGGAGGGGCAGAGGGAGAGGGGGAGGGGAAGCAGACTCCACCCTGAGCCAGAAGCCCCAGGCTGGGCTTGATCTCATGACCCTAGATCACAACCTGAGCCAAAACCAAGAGTCAATGCTTAGCTGACTGAGCCACCCAGGTACCCCTACAATTTTAAATATTAGAATGTAAGAGATTTAATAATCTGCATTAAAGACTTGCAAATCAAAGGCACAGTGCACAATGAATGGCCACAAATCTTCAAATTATAGTTAAATGGAACAGATGTTTTACACACAATATGAAAATTACCATGAGTGCCCTCCTTTGAAGTCTCAAGAACCAAGTAATGACCGTAATCTATAAATTATTCCTGAATGACAAAAATCACCTAATTCAATCTTCAAGAAAAATACAATTCAAATACAAAAACCTAATCAAGATAATAGCCTGAAGTAAAACTTCATCCAGTTTCATTTGTTAATATCAATGTTTAATATTTCAGCAATGTTTTATTTATTTATTTATTTATTTATTTATTTAAGATTTTATTTATCTATTTGACAGAGAGACACAGTGAGAGAGGGAACACAAGCAGGGGGAGTGGGAGAGGAAGAAGCAGGCTTCCCGCAGAGCAGGGAGCCCGATGCAGGGCTCGATCCCAGGACCCTGAGATCATGACCTGAGCTGAAGGCAGTCAGTCGCTTAACCAACTGAGCCACCCAGGCGCCCCTCAGCAATGTTTTAGTAAATATAATTTAGTAATATGAAAAATGGAGACTGGGGCACCTGGGTGGTTCAGTCAGTTAAGCATCTGACTCTCTCTTTTTTTTTTAAAGATTTTATTTATTTGACACAGAGAGAGAAAGCACAAGCAGAGGGAGAGGGAGGCAGAGAAGGGAGAGGGAGAAGCAGGCTCCCTGCCGAGCAAGGAGCTGGATCCCAGCACCCAGAATCGTGACCTGAGCTGAAGGCAGTTGCTTAACTGGCTGAGCCCAGGTGCCCCATAAGTGTCTGACTCCTGATCTTAGCTCAGGTCTTGATCTCAGGGTCGTGAGTTCAAGCCTTGTGTTGGGCTCTGCCCTGGGCATGGAGCCTACTTAAAAAAAAGAAAGAAAAATGGAGGCTTTATCTAAGAACTCACTTCAAAGAAGAGTCAACGTAAAGAAAACACCATAATTTAGTAGATTAAAAGATGAAAAAATCGTTTGCATAGGCATCCTAACAGATATGTGATTAAAGAAAGAAGTCATTTCTTTTCTTTTCTTTTTTTTTTTTTTTTAGAGAAGGGAGGGAGGGGCAGAGGGAGAGGGAGAATCTCCAGCAGACTCCTCACTGAGTGCAGAGCCTGACCGGGCTCCATCCCACGACCCTGAGATCATGACCTGAGTCGAGATCAAGAGTCTGACACTTAACTGACTGAGCCACCCAGGCACCTCCCAAAAAACGTCATTTCTAATTTTTAAAAAAGGCTTAAAAAAAAAAAAGTATAGAAGGGTACCTCCTTACTAAATGCAATAGGTATCAATGTAAAACCTGTTACACCTGACAGGGAAACAATACAATCATTCCATTAAACATTTTAACAAAAGAAAAAGAGATGCTCTTTACCACCTGATTTCGTGCTGTGTGGGAATTTTTTGCCAAAGGAAGACGAGAAAAGGAAGAAAAGAAAGAGAAAGCAAAAGTTAAGAAAACAACATCTCATCAGAGCATTCCTTCTGCGCCTGGAGGTCTGGGTTGGGTGACACTGGATGTGCTGTCCCGATACTGAATGGGAATCTTGGGGAAATGAACCAACTTGCTGAGAACAGGGCAGAGGCGGTGCTCCCTCTGGGAAGGCTTGGGCAGGGGGTCTGAGCCCCTAATGAGCTGTCTCTGGGGTGTGACCTACCCCAGGACCTCAGCCCTCTCAGGCTTGGCCCCCTGGCTTCCCTTGAGCTGGTGACCTGACGCTGGACAAGTTTTCCAGGGACCCTGCCAATGGTTTCTAAGTCCCCAGACAAATCCTTTCTGTATGACAAGGCCAGTCCTTCTTAAGCTGAAGTCACAATGTGTCATTGGTCCTTCTGACCCTAACCAACACTTCCAGACACATCCAGGAGCCAGTTTTCTCAAAATCTTAAAAGTTTAAAAATACCAGCGTCCCTCTTAGAAAACCGTAAGGATTCAGCTTGTGTATGTATATTTGTGTTTTTAGGATAACATTTTGAAAAAGGAGAATGGTGAGGGAGATCTATGTGATGTTAAAGCAAGTTCTGAATTGGTGCCTTGGAATTTTTTTTTTTTTTTTTAACCCAGAATTCTTTTCTGACGATGACAGTTGATAGGGAATATCACTGCGTGAACGGATGCTGGAGCTCTGGTGGAAGGGGTGGGAAAACCCAGAACTCAGTGTGCCCTACACTCCCCCTGCTGTGCAAGTCAGCTCCCTCCACCCCATCCTTGGTCCCCGAAGGAGAACCATGTGTGACCCCCTCCCTTCAAAGCCAGAAGGCTACAACACCATCCCCAGAAACTGTGAGATATTGTAAATCTGAGATCATGACATTGCGCGGTTCACGCGGTTCACGCTGGAAGCTCTGGATTTTTAGTTAAATGAATGATATGGAGCCTGGAAACAAATTCTACCATATTCAAGAAGAGGTCATGCAATGGACTAGCCCAAGAGAACAAGAGAAAAAAAAAGCAAGTTCTTTTGAGTGAGACTGAATAGTGGTACAGAGAAAGATCAACTTAATTCCACCAATATTAAAAAAAAAAATTCTAGATGAGGAATTAAGAATGTATACTATCAACAAGAAAAACCCATTCATAATATAACTCTAAAAGAAGCAAGTGAGAAGCCAACTTAAAATGAGCAAATAATTGCTTACTAGTAAGTACTGATGATACATTTTTAGCTAAGGTAAGCAAAGAATTACCAAGGAAAAGATGAAAAATAAAACAATAAAAAATTATAAAGTGCTTCACAGTGAAATCCAGCATCTAGATTAAATAAAAAGCAAAGTGGTGTATAAAGAGTTTACAGCAATGTCTAAAAATTCTAACAAAATTTCCAACAGGAAACTGACAAAGTTTATACAAAGTTTATACAAAGAGAACCAACCGTGCAGAAAAATATTTATTGACAATAAATTAAAGACATGTGATCAGTGTATCAATATTGAAATGCAATGTTATACCCACTAAAAGAAAGGAAAAGATCATAGAAAGAATGCAGACAACACCTCGAATGAGCAGGCTCCAACAGGACCTGTGGCCAGTAATAGGCACCATCACTCAGAGGCTCAGCAGTTTTGATCAAGAGCCATAATCTCTGCTTGTCATAAAATTGTAACTGAAAATAAGAAAAACTATAGAAACAATCTGTTCAGAGCAGCCTTTATTTGTAATCACCAAGATCTCAAAATAACCCAAATATCTAGCAATTCATCTTGGCACATTTTCTCAATAGAATATTTGGAAACCATTAGAATGTTAAACAGGTGAAGACATGAAGTTTTGGGTGAAATAGTAAGTGAAAAATAGAACTCAAAATTGTCTGCCACCGTGCTTAAAACAAATAGAGAAAACAATAGAGAAAGACAGAAGGCAACAAAGAATGGGTAAAGCTCTGGTGTAGGAGTTGTGGATGAATTAGACATTGAAAAATCTCTCCAGGCGTCCACCTCAGCGGCGAGGGGGGATTTGAACCAGAATGCTCAAACCGCCAGCACAGGAAGCCCCTGGGGCACGCATTTAAAATGCAGATTCCAGACCAAATCTGGTTGGGGCCCAGAAATTTGCATTTTTAACACTCCGGTGTGTTTGCGATTCTTAACACTAGAGGTTGGGAGCCATGACTTACTCAGTGATTTCAAAGTAGTTTGGTGATTCTAGATTCCACTTATCTGCAGGCTACGAGTCTGGCTAACCAGAGGTAAATTGGGTCTATGCATCACGACTCCAGTTCGGTCCGGGGTGGGGGACAGGAAGAAGTGGGGTTCCCAAGGGGTGGGGGGTGGGCCAGCACTGACGGGCCTGGATCTTTGCCCGGGCTTGTCCTTCTCGGGAGGATCTCTGCCTTTGCCAGATCGTGTGTGACCGTGCCTCAAGCTAAAGCCTGCGATGCCTCATCTGGGTCCTCACTAACCCTTGACCTTCGCCTTGTCCCCTGCTCCCAGCGAAGTCCTCCGGACCCTCCCCTCCCTGGAGTCTCTGCAAAGGCTGTTTGACCAGCAGCTCTCTCCTGGCCTCCGTCCACGGCCTCAGGTAAAGGCTTTGGGGTCGGAAGGATGAGATTGATCAACCGGGGTTGGGGGTGAGGGGTGGGGGATAAGGTAGCGGGCGTCCTGAGGGCTCCGAAGGGAGCCCCCCACTCCTGCCCGGAGTTGGCTAGACCACCAGAGCACGGGATCGGGTGGGAGCCTCAGCACTCTGTTCCTCCAGTAAGGCATTTCCCCCGCCGCCTGGTTTTGGTTTAAGGAAAGGGATTTCAAATTACGCACCCATCAGCAGAACTAATCGGTGCTGAATAAGGAAGCAAGGCACGGCCTTTTTTGAAATCACAGCTCACCGGAAACTATTGGAAAGAAGAACGTGACATGCCTAAATGCTCGATGCCGCCTCTTGCCCCAAAAAGAGCAGGGTGAAGGTGCTCCCTGCCCCCCACACCTCCCCACTGGCTCACAGTCTGTCAGGGGCCAAGGCAGGTCATCCACTGAGGAAAGGTATCACCAGCAAAGGTAAAAAGCAAAAGCAGTATCTTCAGAGAAAGTACTTGCAACAAATACAAGGGACAAAGGATTAATATGTTAACAACAACAAACCTCCTCCAAATAATTAAGGAAAAACAATCCAAGTTTTAAAATGCGGAGAGGTTATAAAGAAAGTCTGTCTTACTGGAGGGGGATGGGAATGACCACTATGTGTATGAAAAGAAGTTTAACCTTACCTCATTAGTAACTGGAAAATGACAGCTGTAGCAGGGAAATCTCTTGCCTATCAGACGGGCAAAAAGCTGGTTGGTCAAATCAGGGCTTGGCTCGGGTTTTGGGGTCAGGGACTCACATAGATAGGTTCACTCCTCTGCTCTGCAGCTGGGAGAGGAAAGAAAAACGGGTTTTCTGAAAGGCCCTTTGTCCACCTGCAATGACAATGTTAAATGCACACATCCTTCTATATGTAGGCATCTGTCTTAGGGATAGAGACGTTTATTGTTTGTTGTGGCTTTATCTCTAAAAACAAGAAACATTGGAAACCACCCAAACGTAGAGTCGGTTAAAGTATGCCACAGAATTCTGTTCTAAGGTGGGTACACTGATGTGGACAGATTCCCCAAGGCATACTGTTGGGCGGAAAAAAGCAAATGGCAGAACAATCTATAAGTGATGATATACGTGTGGAAATCAGACCAGAAGGATTTAAACCCAAAGGGCTTCTCTGGTCACCACGTGGGGGGATGGGATGACGGAGAAGGGCCTAGGCCAAGGGGCACTTCAGGCTTGACCAGACTGTTCGCTTGAGTTGTTTTTGTTGTTGTTGTTGTTGTTGTTGTTGTTTTTAACTGAGAAAAATGTCTGTGTGCTATTTGTACAACTTAAAAATTCGCCCAGAAATTAAAAAGGTAATTTTGCTTTCCTTGAAGTGAACGATGAGATGTTAATTTCTGGGAAAGTAAAAGCAAATCTAGGCAAATCAGGGGCCCTGCCAGACACTAACATTTAAATAGTTTGAACAGAAGACCACACACCCACATCTTTGAAATAGACCAGAAGAGGGCGAGGCCCCTAGAGAGTTAAGCCCACTGACCTACCCGACCGGCCTACCCAACTAACCAGCCAGCGGGTGTGACCGGCCAGCTGGTGTTATGTTCAGTGACAGGACAGAGCAGGGACCAGATGGAGGGTGGCATCAGACATGGATGGGGAGAAACGGTTCTCCTTCCACTCTCCCTTACGAGACCCTGACTCATCAAGAAAACGCAGAGAGGTCATTCTTGATGCCTTCAGAAATTCACAGATCGAGGAGAAAGTGGCAGGGTAGATCAGAAACAGCAGAGCCCAGTATCTGACCCGCCCCCACTGGTCCTTGTTTTCCCCATCTGTGAAATGGGCAGAGCGTGTCTGCCACTGCAGGGTTCTGTGAAGGAGTAAGTGAAATCGCCTGTGTGAGACATCGGACGGCCGTGCTCGGCTGACATGTGGCCCTTCCCCTCGGGTCAGTGACACAGGCTGGGGACCCCTGGGCTCCTGCGTGGACTTTATTTGAGAACTGATGGGAGGTGCAAAATGCAACGTTATTAAAAATAACTGCGGACTTCAAGGGCTGGGAGAGACCTGGCTCTGCCCCATATGAGAAAGGAGAGTCGTTAACCTTAGAACCCACATCCTCCCTTTAAAAGGGCAACTACAAAGCAAAGTAAAATGACTGGGCCAGTTTATGGGAACTCACAGGTGTCACTCAGGCCAATCCGCTCACTTCTAGGCTAAGCTGTGAATTCTACCCTTAGCCTTGACCTGAGTGACATTTGGGGCCAAATTATTCTTAGCTGTGGGGGACTGCCCTGTGCATCATAGGATGTTAAAACCTCTTTGTTTCTACTGGCTAGATGCCACCAGCATCCCCCCAGTTGTGACAACCCAAAATGTCTCCAGACGTTGTCAAATGCCCTTTGGCGGGCAAAATCGCCATCAGCCGAGAACCACGGGGCTAGATCTACATTCAAGTCTGAGGTCTACACTCGCTGTGTGACCTTGGACACGCTGACTCACCATTCTGACTCCATTTCCCCTCGGCAAAACAAGGGTTAGAAGGATCTGTTCATGCAAGGATTAGATGAATGGATGCATTTAAAACGTGCTTGGCATCACGGAAGAACTCCTCCGTTCTGTTTGTTCTGCCTGCCGGGAGGCAGAAGTGCAGGCAAAGCTCCAGGATGGTGCTGACACCTTTGGTTCCAAGAACAAACTCCCCGTTTGTCAATAACTTCATTTACACTTGGCAAGTTTTTGCCAAACCTGCCTCGTAAGACACAGATTCAAAGAAGGGACAGCCTCAAACTGCAAGGTAGCAGGCAGGTCATTAATTCCAAGTGTCTGAGAGGGACAAGAGGTTGAATCTGATCTTTTCTATTCTTTATGAGAAAAACCACCCAAAGCAAAGGGATCCTGAATTGCCCCACCGCTGACCAGCCGGTCTGCCCCACCCCCACCCTCCACTCCATATCTCGGGTTCTTTCTAGACCTTGAGGCTTTCTCCCTCATTGATGATAAGCACAGGCTGATTGTGAGCTTTGTTAAGGAGCAGGGCAAAACCAAAATAATCAGAGAAAATGTTGACAAATATGATGTGTTTGAAGTGTTGATAAAGCTAGGATGGTTGTGGGGGGTGTGATGGGTGGTGGTTGGGGGTGGTCGTGGTGGCTGGTGGTGCTGGTACCAGAAGTCCATTCATGTGGCGGGGGAGGGGGCGGAAATTTGAGGTCGAAAGCAAGTGTAGCCTGGCTGACTTACTAAGCAAGGGGTGGGGTAAAGGGACTTGACCTGGTTGGCGAGACCTCATTCCATTCCATACACTTATCTGATTTTATCATCCAACTTCTGAAGGGCAGGGATGGTATCATTAATTCCACAGGTGTGACCACACATCTGGCACGGAGTAAATGCTTTGGAGATATTGGTTCTGGGAATAAACGCTTGAGACTGTGGACTGGGTCTCAAGACGGGCACGGATTCATGTTCTCTGGCATTCACTAGCTGTGTGACTTCAGACAAGTAACTTCAGCTCTCTGGGCCTCCTCCTGTGTGGGTTGAACTTGACTGAGCACCTTCTTGGCCAGGCGCTATTCCAAGCACCCAGGTCACAGCACTGAACACCGTCCTCCCGGTCCCAGTTCTTACAGAGCTCACGTTCTAGCAGGGAAGACACAATGAACAGATACATGACCAAGGTGATTGATAAGAAACAAAGCAGGATGGTTTGATAGACATGCCCTGGTGACTACTTTAGCTAGCATGGTCCGGGAGCACCTCTTTGTGGGTCTGAGACCCGAGTAATGAGCAGGCCTAGCCAGGTGACCTCCATGTCTCTGGGAATCTCTCAGGGAGTGTAGCTCAAGGCCACAGGCAGGTTGGAGGTGAGGATGGGGGTGGCTGGGGAGGAGGGGTCATTATTCAGAGTCCTGGAGGGCAGGGTAAGGAGTCTGGATAATTCTCTCCTAGTAGTGGGTTTCCAGCAGTAAGATGGCCATATTTTGGAAGCATGAGGAACAGCCCTGGAATAGAGGTAGGGGGAGCACAATCCTAGAATTTTGTCGAAGCAACTGAGTGGATGAGGTACGAAGCAGTGGGAGAAGCAGATTTGAGAGGGGAGATGAAATGAAGGTTTACTTTTGGGCCATGATAATCTTGAGGTGATTATAGAAAGCTCTGATTTTCTTGTCTGCAAAGGGGCATAGTCATAGTACTGAGGAGGTGAAATGAGACGGAGGGTGGGAAGGGCCCAGTGGAACCCCTCTCCATGGCTGACACTCTGGGACTACTGTCCTTACTTACTCTTTTCCTCAGGTGCCTGGTGACGCCAATCCAATCAACATGGTGGCCAAGCTCAGCCAACTGACAAGTCTACTGTCCTCCATTGAAGACAAGGTACTGGGGGATCCTGCAGCTTCTCTTGGCTTCTCTGTGGTCCTCTCTTTGCTTAGAGTATGCCCGGGTGTGCAGGCTCTAGGCTTCTTTTGACCCTGTCCCCGAAGGAGGCTGCCTTCCCTGCACCTCTCCCCCCCCATGAAGGGCCTCGTGCATTTATGCCCACAGGTCAAGGCCTTGCTGCATGAAGGCGCTGAGTCTCCCCACCGGCGGTCCCTCATCCCTCCAGTCACCTTTGAGGTAAGAGGCTGTGCCCTTGTGTTCCGCGGTTGGTCCATCTGCAAAGACAGCTTTTGGCTCAGCTGTACGAGGGCAAGGAACCCAACACTGAGGGTGGTGGTTGGCAGAACCACCTGTGGAGATGGTAACGTTAGAATGGACACCCCGACAGGTCTGTGGAACGTCCTTCAGGGGGCGCTCCCCAGAGAAGAGCTTCTCAGCTTCAGATGCTGTACCCTGTGTCCTTCTCCAAATGGGTGCAGCGAGTGACATCAAACAGGGGTCCCCGCATTCCCCTCCCCAGAAGCTGGCTGCAAAGTAGTACCTCAGGGGAGAAGTAGGAAAAATATGTAATTCCCATGATTTCCCTAAGAGTGACTGAGTTAGAACCTCCAAGCTCAGGCCCAGAAATTTGTTTTTCTTAATGATCCGCAGAGATCCTGGTGCAGCCAGCCCAGCCCTGGTCCCACATTCAGAAAAACACAGGACAAGATGCCCCCCACGCAAAGGCCTTTCTGGCCCTGATGATAATTCTGTATTTATATCTCCAGCTTCTGAGCATGCCTAGGCAATTGTCTTTTTCCTAATTATTGCCAGTAAACAAACCTTCAACTGTTGTAACGAGGCCCAGGAGCTGAAATCTGTTCTTAACATCCTTTCTGGGAGTAGATGGCACAACAGATTAATAAGTGCTGTCAGATTAAGGCGTAAATGAGTCGTTTTCCAGTTGTTCACCTGTTCCCTCCACCAAACCTGTTGACAGGACAGCTGATGGGCACACGAGGCACAGCCGGGGTCTTTCGCACATCTGAGCGGTTCTCGGGGGGCTGCCCGTGGAAACGTGGACTTGGGCCTCTGGGGCGAGGGAAGCTCTGAGATTGAAGCCCGATGGCACCACCTGGGACACCAGGGCTGGAATGGCCAGGGGCCGCCCAGCCCCACAGACAAGGGGCTCTTGGGCTGGCCCCCGGAGCCCACACAGAGAGAGCGTGACCACATCTCCCCTCCCCCCTCTCCTCCTCACAGGTGAAGTCAGAGTCTCTGGGGATTCCTCAGAAACTGCAGCTCAAAGTCGATGTTGAGTCTGGGAAACTGATAATTAAGAAGTCCAAGGACGGTTCTGAGGACAAGTTCTACACCCACAATAAAAGTAAGACCCGCTCCCACCCACGCCGCTCTCATTCTGCTGGTGCCGTTTCTCATGACCGGCCTGTAGCAGAACAGCTGGGAAAGAAGTCCACAGGCACATCCACCCCTGTGCTAGGACCTCACCCCCCACCCCCTCACCCTGCCTGTGGGACCCTGAGCCAGCTCTAAGGCCCACCTCACACACCCCTCCTTCACGAAGCCTTCCCTGTACGTTCGCCCCCTTCCGCCAAACCCTGGGGAAGTGAGCTTAAATGCGCGGCTCTGGGGGGCCGTTCTCTGTGAATATGCACCTCCCCACTAGGAGCCACCTCCCAGTCCCCGGACAAGAGCCCTGCACACAGAGGGGCTGCCGGCCCAGTCAGGTAACGTCTATCTTGGGCGTAGCATGGACTGAGAGCCGGTTTAGCATGGTGCTCAAGACTGAGCTGTCTAAATTCGTATCCCAGCCCTGCCACTTGGTGGCTGTGTGACCCTGGACACATTGCTTAACTGCTCTGGGCCTCAGAGTAGGCACCAGCAGAGATGGCTGATGGCAGCACCTCACAGCACGTCTCTTGTGGATCTCTAGGGCCCAAGGCATGCGCCATGGCCTTACGCCGTCGAGAACACTCACCTGAGCTGTCTATTCAGATGGCAGCTCTTGGCTTGACAGCCAAGCCCTACAAATAATGTCCACTATGGTTGGACCTCCAGAGGGGCGGGAAGGGAGATTATATATTCAGCACCAGCTGTGCTGGGCGCCATGTGACGGGTAAGTGTGCAGGTAGACCCTGGGGCTGGCCTGCCCGAGGTCAGATGTAGGCTCTGCCGCTCGCCAGCAAGATCGTGTTGGCCTGCTTACTTAAGCTCTCTGTGCCTCATTTTCCTCATCTGTGAAATGGGAATAATAATAATAATGGATTTTTCCTAGGCTTGTCATGAGAAGTAGATGAACTAATGCATGCGAGAACACCTCTTCTGTGCCCAGCAGTGGCACCAGCCCCTGGCAAAGTGCCCAGGCAGAGACCGGGGGCGGGAGGTCTACCCCACATGGGCCTGCAGCCTCCTGCTGCCAAGTCCCGTCTGGGTGGTGGCACCAAAGTCCTCGGGATGCTCTCAGGGCAGCAGATGGAGTGGGAGTCTGGGGAGCAGCCCCATGCAGGAGGTGGGGTGCAGTGAGGGGAAGAGTGTAGAGAGATAGCACAGGGAGGCAGTGGGAGCCCAGCCTCATATCCCAGCTTGGCCATTTGTGACCCTGGTCCAGAGCCCAGACCTCTCTGATCCTCAGTGTACTCTTCGTCAAAAGGGTGTATATACATTCTGTAGGGCTGCCATGAGTCTTAAATAGATAAACATCACAGTAGGTAGTAGGTGCTCAATAAAACACCATCACTGTTGTAATTATCCTTCCAAGGAAAGGCAGCATAGAGCAGTGAGGAGAGACCAGGAAATGAAGTCCCTAGACACTGGAGTGTGACAGGCTGTCCTGTTCATGCATAGTTGAGGTCAGTGTTGGGACAGGGCTGCCCTGTCTACTGGCAAGTTGGGCCGGAGACGTGGGAGATGTGAGGGATTGAGCAGGATTGGGCTGTGTTGAAAGTGAGCCACTTAGAGCCCATGCTTTCCTCTCACCTGTCACAGAGAACAGAGTTACAGCTGAAAGGGGTGGGCCCAACTTAAGAGGAAACCAAAGCCAAGGATGAGGGGAGAAAGTGTCAGAGCGCCTGACTGCTCTAAAAAACTCAAGGTTTCTGGACTGAAAGAAATCCCTCCCAGGGTTTGGGAAGCACGGTGAACTCTTGTCAGTTTAATTCAATGGACATTTTTTCTTTGGAGTGTTTTCCATGAACCAACACTAAGTTAGAGCCCTCCAGAGATGTAGCAGTGTAGAAGGGAAAGTTGACCTGTGAGCATATATTACAATGTGTATCAGATGCAAGGCTGGCCCAGAAGGAGGATTGATTAGCTCTGTTATGGGTGTGCAGGGAGGCCTCACACCACAGATGGCTCTGTCTAGGGCTTTGAGGGATGAATAGGAGTTCACCAAGCATAAGGTAGGGGAGGGCCCTAGGACTGAGAATGGCCTGTGTTGGGCCAGAGTGTTAGGCCCATGTCCCTTGTGGCCCTAAAGAGAGGAGCAGCGGGGCATGGGGCCCCAGATGTGGACAGGGCCCTGAATGCCAAAGTAAAAGCTGGAGATGTTCTATGGCATGGACAGCGCTGACGGGTTGACCGCCTAGAGGGGTGAATATACCCCTTTGTGGAATTCTGGACAGTGTGAAAGTTGCCATCAGCCCAGGGACGGGTGAAAGAGCCAAGCTGGCAAAGAGGCGCCCTGAGAGACCCCAGCTCGAGTTGAGATACACTGTGACAGCGGAGGTTCACGAGCCCTTAAAAAGAGAAGCATGGATGCCTGGAGCCCACTAACCCACACTCTCTGCAGGCTACGCTCGCTTGCTTCCTGTCCTCCCTCCAAGCCCTGGAGCCCAGCTCACCCTCTGCCATGGCCTCTGTCACATCAGGACACAATTACTTGTTCCCGAGTCCCCCTCCCCCACGAGGGCCGGGTCATGATCTTACACACTCTGCCATCTGCAGGCCCAGCACAGGACCTGGTACTCAGCAGGTGCATACTCAGGGATTGCTGATTGACTAGGTGCTTACAGTGTCGCTCATAAATCCCCAGCTGCCCCCACCAAAAACGTGGGGCCTCCACAGAGGCCAGGAAGTGGGGCTTTTTTGTTTACTGCTAAGTCAATCCCCAGAGTCGAGAACAGCACTTGGACAGAGTAAGTGATCAGTCAATACGTACTGAGCAAATCCATGAATGAATGATGAACAAATGAGTTCAAGGCCAGCGCAGTCATGCAGTTCATGTGGCCGCGTGTTTGGGTGCCCTCTTTATAACCAGCACGGGAAGCAGTTTGCTTCTGCGGTGAGGGGCTCTGGGTAAACTGGATTCCCGTACTGGTTTCACAGCTTGATAATTCCCTCACTCCACGGCTTGATCATGGTGTGACCTTAAATTAGTGACGTACCTACTCAAAGCCTCCATGTCCACATCCATAAAACGGATTCCTATAGGGTCCTCGCGAGCGCTGGTGGCATAAGGCATGTCTTTAGCCTGTCCTGGCACAATCAGTTTCCAGTCATGGTTATTGTAAAGTGCTAATCATCTGGAGGAAATCTTTGATTGCAGGTGTTGGGCGTTCCTTGCCCTGCTCCGGTCCCCGTGTTCTTGAATAGCTTTGGCATTGAGGTCTTCTATGCATAGGAAAAGCCAGTGGCTGTCTGAGGAACTCATAATGTATTCACTTACTGAGCAGTCATGGTGTGCCAGGCACTGGGGATGCAAAGGTGAACAAGCCAGGAGGGGTCCTGGCTCTCGGGGAGGTTCCACACAAGTTAGAGTCAAGGAGAAAATAACCAAGTACACAAATACATAAACCAGGAGTGTCCGGGAGTGATGAGCTCTAGGCTGGGAATGTAAATAGGATGTTATGACAATAATGGAGGACCACCATTTGAGCTGGCACCTGCATGTCACGAACATGCTGGCCACGCAAAAACCACAGAAAAACCCTTGGGCAGAGGTTCCGAGATGAGAGCAAGCTTGTCATGTGAGCAAGCCTGGAGTGGCCGGAGCACAGATGGTGCAGAGATTGGGCACCTGTCCTGGGCTTGGTGACCCCGGAGTATGTTCTATGTGCAGTGAGCCACTGTTAGGAGTTTTAAGCAAGGGAGTGGTATGATCCCACTTTAAAATGAACTCTGGCTGCCGTGCTGAGAATAAATTATGGCGGGGAGTGGGGAGACAGACCAATTAGGAGACCTTGAGATGGGGAAGGAAGGACATTGGGAATGTTTTGAAGGTCAAACTGCTCATACCCGCTCATGGGTGAGATGGAGAGTTGCAAGGAAAAGAACCACAAAGAGCTAGTTTTATTTAGCTGGGTGTGGGGACAAGTGGGCCTCTTACTAGCCCTGATAGAATACTAATCCTGATCAAGCAAGATGTCACATCTTGCAAGCAGCCTCACAGTCCTGCAAATGGGGGTCAAGGAAAAACCAGAAGTTCAGAAGGACAGAGACATAGCCTCATAGTAGCAGATTAACAAAAGTCTCAGAGCATCCATGTTGCCAGCAGTAGGAATCACACCATGGGCTATTTACTGCTGCTGACAAGGGCGATAGGATTTCTGAGCACACAGGTTGTCCACGATTTCCCTTGGGTAAGATTTCCAGTGAAGATGGCGGTTGAACACACACACTTGTCAGTTCCCTTCCTAAAAGCAAAACTCACAGGAACCAAGAGACTGAGGTGGCAACAAAATTCTAAGTGCTGAAAAGCAGATGGGTAATGATAACCAACTTAAAAAGGCTCAATTTTAAGCATGTAGTAGGAAAAATTGAGACACCTGACTCACACCACAGAACCCACAAAGGGTACAGGAATTGATACTGTCAGGGGCCCCTAGAAATGGTGAAGGTGAGGTTATAAACATCAGGATTGGATGAAAATCTATTTTAAAAGAGACCCACCAGATCTTTCTCACTCCTCACAGCCTACCCTCTGTTTCCCCTCACTCATTATACACAAGGATGTTAGTTTTCTGGAGAAGCTAAAGGGCTGGGGGGACACCAGGCCTGGTAAGGACAGAGGAACTCACTGGAAACAGGACAAAATAACGGTTACTTCTGAATGTTGATACCACAACCTTCATCACTGTCTGGCTAGGATGCTGCCAGCCAGGCCCACACCCTGCAGGCAGGAGGTTGGAAGAGTCTTCTCTGGAGCACGTGACCAGCCCAGGGACAAAAATCAGCCCATGGGTTTCCCTGTGAGTCAGCCCATGAGACCACCCATTGCAGAAGCATTGCTTGACAGACCCCCACTGTCACTGTTGGAACACATAGCCAAGGATCACCAGATGGAAGCCTGGGATGGGCCGTGAGACTCAAGGCAAAAAAGAAACAAAAAGACAAAAAAATTGGAGGGAGCAAATTATGAGGGTTAAAAGAAATTGGACCATGAAACAAGAACAGAATGCTATTTTAAAAGGAACATTCGGAGGACAAAATAGAAATGAAGAAGGAGGAAAGAAGAAAGGGGAAGAAGAAGATAGGGAAGGGGAAATTAAAACATTACAGCAGAAATTTTTAAAAATAAAAACAGAATGGAAGGGTGACAAGATAAAGTTGAGGAAGGCTCCCAGATGGTAGAACAAAAGGATAAAGGGAGGGAAAATAGGAGAGAAGAGATTATTTAAAATTAGAAGACCAGTCTGAGACATCTAATACCAAAATAAGGCAGTAAGAGAAAATGGAAACAATGACAGAGACTTTCAGAACCAAACAACACCAGTTTCCAAATTGAAAATGGCCGACAAAGCGCCCAGCACGACAGAGGAACATTGTTCCACCCTGAGGCACACACAACACTGGAAAGTCTTACAACATTGGTGTCAAAGAAAAGATCCTAAAATCTTCAAAGCAAAAGATAGATGACAGACTGTCAGGACTTCCCAAGACTATCTCAGCAATTCACCAAGAAGAACTCCCAGGACTCGGCATAAAGTCATACAGCTATGATGTATTCCAGTGAAAGGATGCAAAGCAAAATCAGCAAAAGGAAAAGGCATATGGGAGGAATTCCATGGGGGAAATAAAGCACAGACTTCCAGGAGTCCTCTCCCAGTGCAGTCACACGGGGCATGCTTAATTGCTCCCCCAATGAGTTGTGACAACACATGTGAAGTGTTGTCTACCAGGGAAGCTCATTAGAGAGTCGGCACCGAGGGTTTTTTACTGGGGACTGGTCACGTAGGCACCCTCTGCCTGGCACATACCCAAATTCCAGACTTCCAGGAGGAAAGCAGATGTTCAGCACAAACTGTTAGTATAAATAGTTAGCTAGTATAGTATAAATAGTTTAGGGGTATCGAGCTGCTTTTACCAGTTCAGGACAGGCTGGGGACTCTCCCCAAATCCGGGTTCCCAGATGATAACCAATGACCACCTTGCAAGCATCTTTTCCAAGGATGGCAGTCAGGCTTTCCAGGTTTACTCTTCTGTAGGCAGGTAGATCAAAATGACATTGAGTTTCTCAGCAGCAGTGCCAAAAACTAAAGATGATGGAGCAAGTTTTCCCAAGGAAGGGTCCTGAGGGAAATAATTCCAAACTGTCAGTGAAATGTGAGGGTAGGGTTTTCAGACATGCAAGGCCTCCAAAACATGTTATCCATCCCCGTTTATTGCAAAATGACTAGAGACATTGCTCTGCCAAAATTTGGGCATAAAACAAGAAAAAGGAAGACAATAACTGAGAAATTGGATCCAGTACAAGAGAAAGAGCAGTGAATTGATTCCTGAGTGATGGAGAGGGAAGGCCCTAAGGTAATGGCTGTGCGTGAGACCTAGAGGTCACCAGCCCAGAGAAGAGAGGGCCCAGAGGCTCTGGGAGAGGCTTCCTCAGGATGGTAAAACTGATGAAAGTGCTTGATTATACAGAAAAGAGAGTTATAAACTAAGTTAGGACCAATGAAAAAGCATGGCAATTATTAACTCCAGGAAAAACCAAAAAGTTGTGTAAGAAAAGGGAAGCAATCGAGGCTTATCAGTAGCGTTTCCATAGTCGTAACGCTGAGTACTTACCTGATCAAAATGGTGATATAATTACTGGAAGATGATGATGGGACCGAAATTATGCATTGGTAGGGGGCAAGGGGTGGTGAGAGTACAACCTGTGCGAAAGAGGACTGAACCTCCACCTTCTGTAGTGGGAAGTCGATACGTAATAGGAAATAGCGAAAACTGAAACACCGGGAAGAAGTAATAGAAGCGTGTTATTTAGAGACAGTAAAATTCCCAAAGAACCCATTAAAGGAGTTAAACATAATTGCCTGTAGGTAGAAGGACATTGGAGAGGTGGAGTTGGGGGATACTATTGTTTGTAAAAAATCTTATAGAACAGCTTGAGTCTTGACTGTTGATAGAAGTAAACAGTTTTGGGTGCCTGGGTGGCTCAGTTGGTTAAGCGACTGCCTTCGGCTCAGGTCATGATCCTGGAGTCCCAGGATCGAGTCCCGCATCGGGCTCCCTGCTCAGCAGGGAGTCTGCTTCTCCCTCTGACCCTCCCCCCTCTCATGTGTGCTCTCTCTCTCATTCTCTCTCTCAAATAAATAAAATCTTAAAAAAAAAAAAAGTAAACAGTTTTGATTTAGATCTGAATTAAAAGCAAAGCAAAAGAGGGAAGGGAAAGGAAATAATTGAGGTAGGGGGGAGGAGGAGGAGAGAAAGCAAGGGGGAAAGGGAGGAAGATGAAAAGGTGACAGTTCACACTGTCTCTGCTCTGGCCAGGCCACCTCTTGTTTATTCCAGGCACCACCCTTCCCAAGCATGAGTCCCTTTCTGGTATTACAGCCAGGAACAAAGGGATCTAGGTGACCAGGCACAAATTGGGTGCTCACCTGGGGATGGGAAGTCAGGATTGTTGCTGATCAGGTGCCAGAATATAGCATAGACTCTACATATTGAGTGATAAGTAGATGAATGAATAAATGAACTTTCATTGCTCTTAAGTCCTACAGCTCATCAAGTCTCAGAAGTTTCTGAACAAGTTGGTGATTTTGGTGGAAACCGAGAAGGAGAAGACCCTGCGGAAGGAATATGTTTTTGCTGACTCCAAAGTAAGTGAGGACAGAGTACTTAGATGGGTCAGGAGGGGAGTGGGGGACACGTGTCTTTGGAGGCTTGTATGTGCCTGGAAATTTGTACCCTTAGCTCACTCAATTCTCACCACTCATTTCTCATCTGGGAAAACCAGTCCCAGGAAATGAGGGGACACATTTCAGGTCGGCGGGGATTTGAACAACTGCAAGTCCATCCTCCCCTCTCTGCCACATTCCCTGCCCCCAAGAGGGCCCATCCTTTATCACTTGTGTCTCATCCAGCCCTCATCCCCACTGGGAGACTTTTTAGCTTCTCGGGGCTGGACTCAGAAGTCTTCTGGGGCACCTCAAGATTTAAATCTGAATACCAACCAGCACTCCTTCCGTGGCTACCTTTTGCCCCATCTGCAGGAGTAAGATGCCCCACCAGGACTGGCTCCTGGAGCAGGAGGTGGTGTGGGCCAATGGAAATACTCGGGGTCTTTGGGCATTGCACTGGGCCTCTGTATAGCCAGAGGCAGGGTTCTCTGTGATCTGATCACTCCCCTCTGACATGCCAACCAGGGCCTGAGACCCTCCATCTTGGCCTTACTCTTTATCCTGTAGTATATGGCTCACACGAGGCAGGGCACAAAGAGCTTTCATCACATCAAGTGTTGGCTGACCAGGCGTTAGCAGCATGGCAAGGCTGAGGGACAAGGGCTCCCAGCTCAGGCGTACAGGGACAGTCCCCACCAAGTGCCAGAACCTTCCTTCTTTTACCTGCCCCAGAGATGATGTGTCAGCGCGCAGGGTGGGGGGGTACTGGTGGGAGGCCAGCAGGAGGCCAGGCGGTGCCCAGAACTGGCGGAGAGGGTGGGATGAACTCAGAGGAATGACAGAGAGAAGGGGTTGGGAGAAACAAAGATGCACGGGGCCAGATGGGGCAGGGCGGGGGGGAATGGAAAGAAGGAACGTCTGGCTGGACCTCATTCTGGGTACATGGACATAGATCTAAAAACCAATGCTGCCCATTGCTGCAAGCTCAGAAGGATTGAGACACAGCAGTAAACTGTGGCACCACATTTTGAGGCATCCCGAACTAAAGGCAGGTTTCCATAACGACAGTCATCATAACATCTTTGTGAGCAGGTTTCTTCAGAGGGGATTGATTAACTGAGATCTGCAATTTTTTACGTTGAATCATACGAAATTGCGATCTCTGTAGGTGCGAGACAGCTAAACATTGGTAATTTCATATGGTACAACCTAAAATTTGTGTGTGTGCTTGTGTGGTCAGCCTGTCCTTGACAGTCTGCTCTGCTTTGTGCCCCCCTGTATGCCCAGGTACCCGGGACAAGTCAGGGAAGACTCTTCAGGAGTCTCTGACAGCCTTCATGTATTCTCTTCTTTTTGGTTTCTTAGATCTAAATTTTCTTTCATTAAATAAGTAACCTATTCTCATTGGTGAAAAAGTAACAAATACAAAATAAACAAAAAGTTTAAAATGGAAGCATCCATATGCTGCTAGTAGACTTTGGACTCTCAGGGTGTTTTTGTTTTGTTTTGTTTTGTTTAAAGATTTTATTTATTTATTTGAGAGACACAGAGCACGAGCAGGGGAAAGGGGCAGAGGGAGAGAAAGAAGCAGACTCCCCGCTGAGCAGGGAGCGACAGGCGGGGCTCAGTCCCAGGACCCCGAGATCATGACCTGAGCCAAAGTCAGACGCTTAACCGACTGAGCCACCCAGGTGCCCCTTGTTTGTGGGTTTGTTTTTTTTTTTTAAGATTTTATTTATTTGTTTGACAGAGAGAGACACAGCGAGGGAGAGAACGTAAGCAGGGGGAGTGGGAGAGGGAGAAGCAGGCTTCCCGCCGAGCAGGGATCCCGATGTGGGGCTCGATCCCAGGACCCTGGGATCATGACCTGAGCTGAAGGCAGATGCTTAACCAACTGAGCCACCCAGGCACCCCTCCTTGTTTGTGTTTTTAATAAAAATGCAACAATGCTATTTATACTGTTTTGTCAACTGGCTTTTTGCATGTAACAACGTAGTTTGGACATCTATCCTTATTGAGAAAGTATTTCTGCAGCAGAACTTGTGAACCCTACAGTATTCTGGCATGTGGATGACCCATACTACAGTTATTAACTTGCTTCGTAGGATTGGACATTAAGGCTGTTCCTAGTTTTTTTCTGTATTGACGTGCATGCCGCAGTCCCCGTGCTGTGGCTGGGTCTTTGTGCGGTTCCTGGTGTCTTAGAGTCAGATCCTTGCAGAGGATTGGCAGGGTCAAAGAGAAGCCACTTCCTTAAGACTTCGGACCCTCTTTCCAGATGCTCTCCTGCAAGTTCGTACTGATTTGCGCTGCTCTCAGTTTTCTTGAAGCTGACCAAGCCCTTTGAAAGTGTAATGTGCAGGGAGGCGGAGGCCTTTCTGAGTCTGTCTGCCCTTCAATCCCTAGAAGAGAGAAGGCTTCTGCCAGCTTCTTCAGCAGATGAAGAATAAGCACTCGGAGCAGCCTGAACCAGACATGATCACCATCTTCATCGGCACCTGGAACATGGGTGGGTCCATATGTGCCCCCGCACACTCTTCCCACCACCTCCTCTTGGGTTCTGCTTTGCTGCCTCAGACATCTGCAAATGGATGGGGGGGGCATCTGTCTTCCTCCCACCCACCCCACCCCCCCCAGCCTATCTGCACAGCCTCCTTTCTAGGGAATTCTATACTTTTGCTGAGACAATGGATACGAGAAATGAGCTCTGGGATTCTCATACCCCAGTAGCAGCTGGGCTGGGTTACTTTGCATGTCTAAACTGGAAAGTTGTAGTTATAGCCTGGATGTGTAGGTAAAGAGGCTTTGTGCACCTGCCAGCCTTAGGCAGCTCTCCAAGGGGGCCTCAGGCCTAGAAGAAAGAACTCCCTCCCTGGGTGGGGTTGCCAGATTTATTGAGAGAGAAGGAGATTGAGATGATGCCCAGTTACATTTGAATTTCATGTAAACGGCAAAGTTTTTTTTAGTATTGGTATCTAGCTAGAAATGATTATGCTAAATATATGCTACGCGTATTTATATACTAATCTATATTATATGCTAATATATGTTGTACTGAATATAAGTTGTAGCAAATCGTGTAACTATTCAGCTGAAAAGAAGTACTAAATCTACACCAAATATATACTGTATCAGCCATGTACTATATACTTATATACAATATATATTTATATACTAGATATATCACACTAAATATAAATTATACTAAATAATTATTTCATGGAAGTATTTAGCGAGGAAAAAAATAAGTAGATACAGGATGTCTAGTTCATTTGAATTTTAGTTAAATGGATATTGCACGGGGCATACCTTTTGTAACAGTTCTCTGTTGTTTATCTGAAACTTGAATTTAACTGGGTGTCCCTCTAACCCCACATTGTCCAGAGCAGAGTCAGGCTCACCCACCCTCTGACCTAACAGATAGCCACCCAGCAGTGAGGGGGGCGGGGGTGAGCAGCAGCCCTTCGAAGAGGGGCAGGGGGTGATCTGGAAATGAGAACATAATTTGCTCCTCCTGGCCTATGGGCTGAACGGAGAGTGGGCCAGAGCACCTGAGCCCAATTCCGCAAGCCGCCAGCCCTGCACAGGCATTCATGCCCTGATACTGCAGGGGGCACGGCAGTACTGAAGTTGAACTCTGGCCCATGCTTGGGTCCCATGTCCTCTTCTGTCCTCTCTTGTGTTTCTTACTGGCCACCTGATTTCATCAACTCACTCTCAGGGGTTCATGCACGGGGGTACGCTGCCCTTGTTTTTTCCTCTGTGAGCATGGGGGGCTTAGATTCGCCTGGACATGGTGAAGTCCATCCTGGAGGGGGTGCGCCGTTCATGCAGAAGGCAGTGCAGAAGGAGCTGGCTGGGTGGGTGGGTGGGGTCTCCTCAAGCAGAGACCACCAGCCCCTAGGGCTTACGCTCCCACTGTGAACCATAGTGGGAAGCAGAATGGCCGCTGTCAAGCTACTTGGGTTCTTGGCCAAGTAGGTTATCTCTCTGGGGGAAAAGTTTACTCAACTGTGAAGGGGTGTTTCGAGGAGAAGTAAATCCTTCATCCTGTCTTTATTAAGCTACTTTGACTCGTTTTTCGAAATGAGAATGGAGGAGGTCTCCACACTCCTCCTGTCTCTTTGGCTCTCAGTTTGCGGCTGAGATCTCTCTGGTTTGCAAGGAAGTCCCTGTTGTCTCCCAAACCTGTCAGCCTGCTGGGCTGTCCTTGCCAACAGGATGTAAACTCCTCGAGGACTGTCTCAGTTACTCAGTCAGCCCCAAAGGCTAGGACGGTGTTTGACGTCTCGTGCAACTAGTTCAAGTCACCCTATGGAATCTTCGGTTATTTCCAGTCTCTGAAACTTCATGTTCTCTTTACAGAGAGACTTAACTGTGCTCTGACCCCACCTGACATCCTGGGGGTAATAGTACCTAAGTCTCCAGCTGTGGCATTTCGTGGGGTGGCCTGAGTAGTTTTCAGTGGCTGGGTGAACCTCCTGCCCCGCACACTTTCCCCCACCTGTGTTTTGAACTCTCCTGATGTACCTTTGACTCACTTGGTGTTGGGTTTTGCTGTTGAAGGTAACGCCCCCCCTCCCAAGAAGATCACGTCCTGGTTTCTCTCCAAGGGGCAGGGAAAGACACGGGATGACTCTGCTGATTACATCCCCCATGACATCTACGTGATCGGCACCCAGGAGGACCCCCTGGGAGAGAAGGAGTGGCTGGAGATACTCAGACACTCCCTGCAAGAAATCACCAGCATGACTTTTAAAACAGTGAGTAGCTGGCCAGGGCACTGGGTGGAACTCCGGGGCAGTGGGCTTTGTGAGGCTGGCCAGGAGCATCTCAGACACAAGGGTGGGCTCGGCCTGTGAGCTCTCAACTTCCAAAGATACCTGTTTGCTCGGTGGTCATTCCCCACCACCACCTCTGCCTTCCAGGGCCAGAGAGGAGCACCTCTGTTCTGAAATTGGTGTTGCTGAAAATCACTGGGGCCCTCCCTCGTCCTTGCCCCTGCTTGTAGATCATCCTTACTTCATTGAAATCTTGCCAGTCCTGGCTCTCATCTTTAATATACTTTGTTTCATCTGCAAGGCATCCTTAGACGCTCCGCTGAAGTTTAGGGATTACAGATAGGGTCCCCCATCTTGGAGGTCAGGGCTGGGGGTAGATCTCTTGCCCTGTGGTCAAGCACCATGCCCTGGCCAAGGGTGACCGTGTTGTCCACCCCACCAGATTGCCATCCACACCCTCTGGAACATCCGAATTGTGGTGCTGGCCAAGCCGGAGCATGAGAACCGCATCAGTCACATCTGCACTGACAATGTGAAGACGGGCATTGCCAATACTCTGGGTGAGCAGGGAGGGGGCCGCGCTCATGTGGCCATCCCACCCGAGCCGACTGGGACACCCCTGTGTCTCACTTCCTGGGCTCCCCTCAGTCCTGGGTAACCAGGTTGGTGGGTTCCTCCAGCCTCCACCCGGGGTCTACACCAGTGCTGCTGGGGATCTGGCTAAAATGCGGGTTCTGACTCAGCAGGTAGCAGGCGGAGCCTGACATTCTGAGTTTCCAACTAGCTTGCAGGTGGAGTCATGCTGCTGTCCCGCAGGCCCCACCTAGAGAACCAAGGACCTAAGACAGGAGTTGACAGACTTTCTGTAAAGGGCCACATAGTAAATATTTTAGGCTCTGTGGGCCGAGTGCCATGACACAAAAGGAACTACAGATTGCACAAACGGGAACGCGAGTAGCTGTGTTCCAGAAAGCTTTGTTTGCAGACACAGGTGGGGCTGGATTTGGCCCGCAGGCTTTCTGTTGCCGACCCCTGGTGTAGATCGAGGTTGGATGCAGAAACGCTGGCATTAGCGGTGAGCCAAGGGGGACCAGTCAGGGCACCTTCGAGAATTGAATTCAGAGCAGAGGATGACAGGAGTGCATTTGTAAGTGTGAGTCTGGGTGTGGGTGTGAGTGTGATTCTGAGTGTGTGTGAGTCTACACGTGCAAATCCAAGTACGTGTGTCTGTGTACATGCAGGTCTGTATATGTAAGCCTGTCTGGGCGGAGTGCGCACGTGACTTTGTGTGTGTCTGAGTGTACATGCGAGTCTGTGTGTTCAAGTCTGAGTACGTGTGAGTCTGTGTGAGTGCGTGTGCAGGTTGGTCTGAGCGCATGTGTCAGTCTGTGTGTGAGTGTGTGTGGGCGGGTGCACCCACGCAGGCCGTGGGCAGGGTTGAGGGAGAGGCCAGTGGTGGTTGGAGTCGGGGACGGGACAGAGTCCCCGAGACAACAGGAAACAGAAGAATTGCTGCAATCGAATGTGAAGAACTCTCTCAGCTTTTCTGCTGACAAACCGCACACTGCCTGCGTCCACACCCACTTGACCCCTTCCTTCCTGTCTCTGGAGCTGCCCTGTCAAAGCCCATGCCCTTCTGCTGCCCAGGAACCTCTCTCTGTCCTTGCTGCAGCCTGCCCGGGCTGCCCACCCACCTGCCACCAGCCCCTCCCCAATACACGTGAGGTAGTCAGACCTCCCGGTACGAGCTAGAACCAGGCCTCAGCCAGGCCGCGCCTCCGGCTGTTGTCCCAGCTCTTGTTCATCATGACAGAGCCGCCCATGTGTCCCCCCAACATGGTGCTGGGCACTGGACAAGGGACTGTGCACACCGCAGCCTGCTCACATCCCATGCACCTGCTCCTCCCTTCCCCCAACCCTGGGGCGGGCCTCTTTCCCCTCTTCTCCCAAATGGCTCCCAGCTGTGGTTAACGTGGGACAGAGCCCAGTGAATGCTGGTTGGCTAATGCTGGTGGACATCATCCCTAGAAGAGCTAAGGCCTTTTTGAGAACAGACATGTGCACGGCCGACAGCTAAATGCTCTAGGAGTGTTACCTCATTTACTAGAAACGCCCTGTGGGAGGCAAGGACCATCGTTGACCCCATTCACAGACAAGATGCTGGAGGCGACAGTGATGTTCCTTAGCCTGTCCCAGGCCCAGTGGCAAGAAAGTGGTGGGCAGGGATTTAAACCAGGTCACATTGCAGGATGGGGAGAAAGCTGGAAGGAGAGGCCCCCCACCCCCCGGGGCGGGGGAGCAGGGCCACCCATCGTCGATAGGTGGATGATCTTTGAGGTCCTTCCACTTAGGCTCCACCCAGTGCTGTCCAGCTCAGACAGAGGGAGAGCCACATAGGTGGCTACCAATATTCTAGGAGCCACATTCAAGAAAGTTAAAGGAAACAGGTGAAGTTGATTTTCATAACATTTAATCAAACACCATTCTTTCAAAAGATTACCATTGTATGCAATATAAAAATTATTAAATATTTTACATTCTGTTTTTCTTGCTGAGGCTTATAATTCTGGTGCATCTGTATACTTACAGCCCTCCTCAGCTGGGACCAGCCACATTTCAAGGGCCCAGCACATACAGCTCAAGCCGTTGACCAGAGCAGGCTCTCAGACGTCTGCATGCGTCAGAATGCCCTGGAACAGGGATGGCAAATTTTGTCTCTAAAAGGCCAGCCAGGAAATATTTCAGGCTCTGCAGGTCATGCAGCCTCTCTTGCAACTACTCAACTCTGGGCATAGCTGTGTTCCAATAAAATGTTATTTATGGGCTCCTATTTGAATTTCATACCATTTTAATGTGTCACAAAACCTTCTTTTGATTTTTTTCCCCAACTATTTAAAAATGTAAAAATCATCTTCACCTGACCTGACATCGGGCCTGCGTTTTGCCCACCCCTGACCTACAGGGCTTGTTTCACCCACATTCCTGGGCCCTGCCTCCAGAATTTCTGATTTGGCAGGTCCAGGGCGGGGCCTGAGAATTTGCACTTCAACAGTTCCCAGGTGCTGCTGCTATTCTTTGGGGAACACACTTTGAGAACCACTAGTCTAGAATAGGTTGAAACTCAGAATAAGAGGTGGCCTCAGTGAGGGTTTTGGTCCCACCAGGAGCCTGGTTAGCTGGGGGAATGTCAGCCCACCCAGCCCCGGGCTCCTTTGACTTTAAATCTTCCCCAGGCTTCTGGCTGCTTTCGGTGGTCTTGCCTGCTTGGCCTGTGTGGTAACAATGAGTCCCCGGGAGGGGGATAGCTGGATGACTCAGGCCTGCTGAGGACTCCCAAGGCCGCAGGCCATTCACCCTGTTTTCTTCTGGTCCTGGAGGAATGCCCCCCTACCCCCCGAGTCCCTGCCACTCCTGAGTATTCCACTCCAGATGAAGCTGTTCTGCTTTTCTCGCTCTCCCCTTGAGGAGTAACATTGCTCCAACTTGATTTCCCACCACTTGCCAAGGTTGCCTGTTGTGCTGACTTCTTGCTTCTCCCCTCCCTTTAGGGAACAAGGGAGCTGTGGGGGTGTCGTTTATGTTCAATGGAACGTCTTTGGGATTTGTTAACAGCCACTTGACTTCCGGAAGCGAAAAGAAACTCAGGTAATAGAGCTCATTGCCTGAGAGCGTGTTATGGGGTTATCTGCCCAGACAGACCTCACATCCCCAAACACCACAACTACTGTGCAGCCCCCGGCTTTCCCCAACCCTGTGGCACAAGAGCGACCTCTCGTGTGGATGAATCTTGTCAGGAGGACAAGACACGTGTTTCCATATGTCATTGATCTCATAGATGCCTAAATACCACTCCATTTCTAAAGGGAAGGACCTCCTCCGGGCACCCTTACAGGTCAAAGCCTGTTGGGCCCAGTCATGAAGACCTCTATCTAGAATAATCATGATTCCAGTCCCTGCTGAACGGAGGCCCTGGGGGCCCCTGCACTGTGCCCCCGTTTCCACCTGAAAGGCCGTTTGCACCCTGACTATGTCCCACCTGCACACGGAGGGGGTCTGCTGCAGCCGGGGCCCCAGAATTCCATCTCCGTCCCCCCAGGTTTCCTCCACCTTCCCACCACGGTGGTGAAGTAGGGAACCAGCGACCCCATGCAAGACGGCTACCTTTTCATTTAAATAGGCGAAACCAGAACTACATGAGCATTCTCCGGTTTCTGGCTCTGGGCGACAAGAAGCTAAGCCCTTTCAACATCACTCACCGCTTCACCCACCTCTTCTGGCTCGGGGATCTGAACTACCGCGTGGAGCTGCCCCCCTGGGTAAGGGGCTGCCCACCAGGGGCGGGGGCTGCACGAGGCCACGGAGGCACAGACGTAGCTGGGCCGAGGCCACTACGCCCCCTCAGGGACTCGATGCCGTCCTGTTGTGGAACCCCTCGCCTTTATAGTTCCCTCTGCTCACACTGGGTCCCCACATACCCGAGGAGACCAGCCCAATTTTCTGTCCAGATGGCGGGTCACTGGACAGCTAAGGAAAACGTCGCTTGCGTCGGATGCCCAGGCATGGTCCACCGAGGAGCAGACCAAAGGGCCACTTGGCCGACGCGGCCCTGCTCACTGAGGGAGAGCAGAGGGTTCCCAGGAAGGGGGTGGACAGGCCTGGGAGCAGAGCCGTGCGGTCTACGCAGACACCTGGGTTACAGCTTGTACGTCCCTAACCGGGGTGTAGAACCTTCACTTTGCGTCCCGTGTGGGGGGAAGGGAGGACGGCAGACACTGAGGGGCGAGAACCCTGGGGCACAATCAGGACAAGGAATGGCCTGGGGTCGGTTGCAGATCCCGGACAGTCGGGCTGGAACCCAGACCTTCTCTCCTTCCCACCCATTTCCCTGAGCAGCCCACCCCTCACTTTTGCTCCCCCAGCTGCGCTGCAGAGACCGAGGAAGAACTTAGGGCCCGTCTGTGCCCCCCTCGCCTCCCCACCCTGCCCTCCCTCACTAGAGGCTCCCCACAGCCAATGGGAGAGGGCTGGACATGGACCCCACAAATCCCGACCCTTCACAGTCAGAGGGGCTGTCCTGGCCGTTCCCTCACCAGGAGGTCGGCCAAGGGCGTTTGCCAGAGCAGAGGGAGCAGTCTCGGGAGGGAGGACCTCTGGGTTCCAGGCTGCCGGCGCATCCTGCTGATGCCCACGGATTCACGGGGCTGGGATTTCAGATCCTTCCATGGCCTCACAACGAGCTGCCTCGGTTCCCACAGAGAACAAGAGACCTACCTGCTAATGAAGTGTTGATAAAAACAATACTAAAAGTCAGAGTGAGAAAGTAAAAGGTCCCTCTGCAAATCTGAACAGCCAAAATTTGTATTATCAGGTTGATGTTTGACGACCTTTGCAGGGTTTTCCTGGTAAAACAGTTGAGCGCTAAGACACACCAGCTGGGCAGCCCCGGGACCAGGGTCTGGTGCAGCCTCGGGGGCTCCGGGTCCCTGGCGGCAGGCAGGTGGGTGGTGATGGGCCTCCTGATGTTGGTGAAGGCGGTGGGTCTCACCGGGGGCCTGGCCATGTCCTTGCTCCAGGAGGCAGAAGCCATTGTCCAGAAGATCAAGCAGCAGCAGTATGCAGACCTCCTATCCCACGACCAGCTGCTCATGGAGAGGAAGGAGCAGAAGGTCTTCCTGCATTTTGGTAAGAACTGTGGCGCTCTGCTCCTGGGTCCCCTCCAGCCATCGCTGTCTCTTCTTTTCCCTGAATATCCTTGGGGTGGGGGGAGGGGAAGGACTGTGGCCGCAGAAGAAGGAAATGTGGCCCGTGTGAAACGTGGGGGAATCAAAGCAGAAACCAAGGTCTTGTTTGGTTTTCAGAGGAGGAAGAAATCACGTTTGCGCCCACCTACCGTTTTGAAAGACTGACTCGGGACAAGTATGCCTACACTAAGCAGAAAGCCACAGGGGTGAGTTCTCCTCACAGCCACCACCCCGGCCCCCCATCTCCACCCCCCTGCACACCTCACTCCTCTTGTGCTGGATCTCAGAAAGGCGAATGGGGAGTAAAGAGCATCTTCATCCACTAGGCAACGGAAAAAACGAAGGACAATTAGAGATCATGTGTTGATTTGCACCACTGAGCCAAAAAACCTCTTCTAAGGAGAGGCTGGGCAGCCATACTTGGCCCACGACAATTAACTAGACTCTGACACAGGATTTACCTTCTGTCCAGAGTCTAAGAGTGGTTCTGAAGCTCTTTTTTTTTTTTTTTTAAAGTCCTGTGATGAAATCTATTTGCTAATCTACCAAATGAATCATCATTAAGCAAGCTTCCTTACTGCAGGACTTGTCAGAGCCTTTACAGGTTTATGAGCATTATGGTTCTCCACAAGGAAATTTCTGGCCAAACTCAGTTACTCATGGAATACCAGCGATTACCTTATGAGGTCCCTTGGGTTCCAAGGAACAGTGTTTGGGGGAAGCTGCAATAAAGCTTTCATTCATTCTTATTCAGCAGGTATTTACTGATGACCCATGATGGGCTAGATATTCTCCTAGGTGGTAGGAGATCAAAGATGAGCCCAGTGTTTGCCCCCAAGGAGTTTATAGAAGGAAAGATGAGACAAACACACAGCTAACTAACCAGAGATGGAATATGAGGTTGCCAAATACACTGAGGAGCCATCAGAGAGAGACATGACCCTTAGGGGAAGGGAAGATCAGGAGAGGCTTGTCAAAGAGGTCCCACTCGTGGTGCTGTGAGGAACAGCTTGGTTATCAACAAGAGGACAGGACAAGGGCTGAGGGGCGCTGATCCATTTCCAGTTGGAAGAATTGCTAGAATAGATAAGGAGGTAGGAAATTCTGGCCTCCGTCACCTTCTGGGGCTCAACCCAGGAAAGCCAGGCCCCGAGGTGTGGAATGGCGAGCTTCTGGGGCTGCTGGAGGCTTAAGGAAATGGAGAATGGTTCAGAACATTGCCTGAGGGCTCAGGGCAAGCGGAGAAGTGCAGAAGGGATGGTAAGGCCAAGCGTGGGGGTGATCCCAGAACAAGGCAGGAGCCAACAGAGAAAACCAGACAGGAGGAAAGAAGATCCAGGTCTGCTGTGGAGGAAAGAGGCTGAGACCGCCCCCCCACCCCCCGGGCAAGACACCTGCTGGGGAGGCGTCCACGGGCTGCTGTTAGCTGCGGTCCTCTGGGCGGGTCCACAGGGGCATGTGGGGACAGTGATGGCATGTCCAAGTTGACTTGAGTATCAGGAGAAGAAACAGGGGCTGAGCTGAGGGGAGGGAGGTCCTAGATGCCAGGGTAAGGTTTTAACCTGTCAGGTAGGCAATAGGAAGCCACTGAAAGTTCTGCTGGGGGTCGGCACAGCAGTGATGCACAGAGAAGGCCGGTGTGCATCTGTGCAGAGGGTGGGGAGGGTGCAGGGGATCCCTGAAGAGGCCGTGTGCTATGTCCCACTGAGAAACGGGCCTGAGTCCGAACTGGGAACAAACAACAAAGGCAGAAGCAAAGGAGAGCAGGACGTGCTGGTAGATCTGATTGCCATGGATAAAAACGCTAATCGGACGGCAGAGCTGGCTTGGAGGGGAGTCTAGAGCTTGCCTTCAGACTTACTGGATAATATTGGCGGAAGACCTCAGAGGAAACATCCAGAAGGCAATTGAAAATATTAGGTGACACCGGGGCTGGGTCATAGATTTGGGAGTTGTGCGTGCCAAGAACACAGACACCCCCACGGGGTAGGTGACGTTGGCAGGGAGTGAGTGGAAGAGGCGAAGAGAAGGGCTGTGGGTAGATTTGGGGGCATCCACGTTCAGAGGTGAGAGGAAGAAGCAGGCACAAGAAAGGAGACGGGCCATGAGTGCTCCTGTAGGTGGCGAGGGGGCCGACCGGGCATTTCGGCATCACGGAAGCGGGGGGTGAGAGACCCGTCAGGATTAGCAGTGGCCAGCGTGGGATGTGAGTCTAGGAAAACATGTTCCCTGCGTGTGAACCCTGCACAAGGAGCTGGATTTGTGGTCCAAAGTCGGTGGACTTGGAAAGAGCAGTTCACGGAGTCCTGGGGGTGAAATCCAGCCTGGGAGGGGACGAGAGTGGCTCTTTACCAGGTGTGTGCAGATGAGTCGGGTAAAGCTTTCTAGAAATACGGATGTCTGGGCCTCATCCCCAGAGGCTCTAATGCAAGAGACCTGGGGCTGTGTCTTCTGTATCTTTGTAAAGCTCGCCAGTAGTTCTTGGGGCAGCCAGTGCTGAGAACTGCAGCGTTAAGAGTAATAGGTTGGCAGCATTGTGCACCTACCCTGTGACCCAGGAATTCCCCTCTGGGGTAGCCCCAGAGACATTAGTACATGTGTTCATCAAAAGGGAGATACGAGAATGTTTATTGCAGCTTTGTGCACCATGTCCAAAAACTGGGAGGAGCCCTGCTTCCGGCAACGGTAGACTAGATAAATGCGGTATATACATACAATGGAATACAACCGCAGCTGGAAGGTGAATGAACTTCTACAGGGAACAACATGGGTGAAAGAAGCCAGACCTCAAACTATATATACTGAGTGAGACCATTTATAAGTTCAAGGTTAGGCAAAATGCATACGTAGCGGCATTAGGCAGGATCATGTTCACCTCTACAAGGTGGTGGTATGAACACAGAGGAACATAAGGGAGCCTTTTGAGATGAAGGAGATTTTCTCTATCTCCATCTGGGTTAAATGAGTGTGTACAAATATAAAAACTTCTCAAGCTGTCTACTTAAGATGAGTACGCTTTACTATACGTAAGTTGCACCTCAAGTTTAAAAAACGAAATGGGTGGTCCAAAAGTAGAGGCAATGAAAATAGAACATTCTGGAAAGAAAGTTGGTAAAAAGAGAAAAGTTAACTGCAGGAGATGGCAGGGGTAGGCTCTTTTAGGGTGAGTACCTTTACACTTATAGGCAGAAGAGAGAGAGCTAGAACTTAGTGATAAAGGATATTGCCAGTTTGCCTTGTCTATTACCCCCAGTGGGCATCTTGCTCATTCACCAGTGTAGCCTGGAGAGGGCTTGTCTTAATACATATTGTTTGAGTGGTTGGATAGGTAGATGGATATGCAGATGGGTGGGTGGGTGGATGGATGGATGGATGGATGGATGGATGGATGGATGGATGGATGCGCAGGTAGGTGAGTGAATAAATAGATGGTTGGCTGGCTGGATCAGTAGATAGGTGGGTGACTGTGTAAATGGGAGTGGGTGGCTGGAGTGTTGTTACTAACGTAAGTAGCTGGAGAAGATAAGCAAAGATTGGGTCGAAAGTACAAGTTGTGGGGTTCACCTGAGTCAGAAAAAAAGTAAGAGGTTGGAAGAACAAGAATTCAGAAATAGGATGATAGGTACAGTCCCATAGCTAGGTGAGTCAATCTTCCAAAGCAGGAACGCAAGGTGTGCACTCAGCAGTGGACTCAGGACTTAAGGCAAATGAAAAGGGTTGAAGGCCACCTATGGGGCAGATCTATAAAGACCCAATAGCACATGAATTCAAGGATTACAGGGTTCACAAGTCAACCTCTTATACTGATTTCTAAATATAAAAAATTAGCAGGCATTTACAAAGCTCATGACTTTGATTTATAGATGAAGTACAACCTGCCTTCCTGGTGTGACCGAGTCCTCTGGAAGTCATACCCGCTGGTGCATGTGGTGTGTCAGTCTTATGGTGAGTAGCAGTCTGGGGGATTCAGGTGCCCAGAACTAACGGGCTCCAGTCTATCTGTAAAATGGGAAAAGTCCCAGCAACCCCGGGCAGGTGACCTAGAAGTGTTGATGCATCATCCTCTCCTGCCTTGAGGCTGCAGCATGAGAAGTGTCTTCTGGATGGGGAAACATTGGAATTATGGGGCCCTTTTAAAAAGAAATCCAGACTTATTTCTTTTGAAAAGAGCATATTAGGTTTGAACCACATGAAAGTGTGTTCTCATAGGTCAAATAAAGTCAAATATTAGAAGTGCATATGGGTAAACCTAACATATACCATGAATATATGCACATATATTTATGGAGATTTAAAGATAAATTGAGGGGGCACCTGGGTGGCTCAGTTGGTTAAGCATCCGACTCTTGATTTCAGCTGGGGTTGTGATCTTGGGGTTGTGAGATTGAGCCCCGTGTTGGGCTCCACGCTCAGCACAGAGTCTGCTTATCCTTCTACCTCTGTTCCTCTCTCTCTCTCTCAAATAAATAAATAAAAATCTTTTTTAAAAATAAAAAAATAGGGGCGCCTGGGTGGCTCAGTCATTGGGCGCCTGCCTATGGCTTGGATCGTGATCCCAGGGTCCTGGGATTGAGCCCCGCATCGGGCTCCCTGCTCCGCGGGAGGCCTGCTTCTCCCTCTCCCACTCCCCCTG